GCATGCTGGGCATTTGCTGTCTAGTCTGCCTCCAATCTTACCTGGTTGACTGGACTCCATTGTTTGGGTTTTGTGCCCTCTCCTGGGGTGACATGACCTATGGCTCCATGGAGCTTGTGGCAGGCCTACCAACCTCCTGGGCTTCTATTCGGCTGTTCATGATCAAACCATGGTCTGCATCTGTGTCACAAGTGCCCCTCACCAGGACAACCCATGGGGGTGCCCTCCAAACATGCCATGCTCACAACCAAGCCTCCAGGGTGTCACCTAACCGATTCACTCTTCCTCCTCTGCCTTCATGAGCTAGCCCTCTGCCCAGCTTCAGGGGATGAAAACATACACACCGTTATTAGAAGCCCAGATCAAAGGCGGCATCCCACAGCCTCTTCTCAATGGTCTCTTTGTGTAGGAAAGCCTGCCAGAGAGTTAGAACCCAGGGAGAGAAGGAGGGGCAGGAAGGGGCACAGTACAAAGACACTTGTCACCCGAAGAAGTGGCAGAAGATGATGTTGAAGATGTGCCAGGTGGAGGTGTGCCCTGCTTGCTTGCTACTCAGCCATGCAAATGGGGAGTCCTCCTCAGTTTTGGGGGAGAAAGATGACTGGGCCCTGGGGGCAGGGACAGCATCTGTTTGCCCCTGGTCTTCAAGTCTGTCAGAGTGTCAGAGAGGCAGTGACCTTGTCTTGGACACTGAATCAGAAGAAAGAAAATGACAAGTATGGAAGGGAGGGTGCTGGGAAGGAGGAGATGCCTTGGGGCTGGAGATGGTATGGTATGCCTTTGGTCAGATACATCTGTTCCCTTAACCATATGTCACAGCAGATCTTTCTAAAACCTTGCTATGTGTCAGACGAGTATGGAGAAGGTACAGTAAGGGGCAGAGCCACAGCGAGGGTGAGATTCTGTGCTATGACCATGCATCAGAGGGAACAGGTACCCACCACCCCCTGGCTTTTATCAGGCCTATCTCTAGGGCTGGAGGAACAAAGACTTGCTTTGAGAGCTCAGGTGGAGATCCAGGGCTTGTCTGGCCCCCTAGCTCTGGGGAGGAGGCTGGAGAGGAGGTTCTCCAGGAGGGGGAAGCCATGGAACCCAGCGGGACCTAAGAAGAGCAGTGGAGACAGACTGGATCTATAAAGGCACTGGTGGTAACTTCTAACTTTTGCAGGCCCCAGGGCTCTATCCTGGACTCCCCTCTTCTCTTTGCCAGGGTTGGGTTTTACGCTTACGATACCAGCTTGCGTCTGAAGCCCATGGATCTGAGTGCCAAGTGTGTGAGTGCACTTGATTCTGCAGCTCGGGCCCCCCACAGGTTTCATGATATGCTCCAAATGTGCTCCTCATCTTCCTGGACCTGCAGCCCACCTTGCCCCACCCACCTACAGGCTTCCATGATTCTGTTAGTGGCATATCTTGCGGCCAACCAGGAGTCCGGTTTAACCTTGACATCCTCATTTTCCCTCCCACTCAGGGTCTGATGTATTAGCCACTCCCGCCACTTTGAAGTTCATTCAACACCCAGTGTCTTCCACCACCTCCGCTGCTCTCACCCTGTTCTAAGCCAGCACTGTTTTGAGCCTAATTTCCTGCTGTCACCTCTCAATCAGGTACTCTGTTCTCTTGTGTAGTCCCCTCCAATAGCTCCTGTTGCACTGGAGTAATGTGAGAGCCCTTGTTGAGGCTCCTGAGGGTCTCCTGATCTGACTCTATCAACTTCACTTCATTTTCCCCACCCCAAACCACATCACCTTGCTGTCAGACCCAGTGCTCCCAAAGCATTTGCAGCCTGTCCCTGCCTCAGGGCCCTTGTATTTGTTGTTGCCTTGGCCTCTGCCTGCTTTGCCCTGATTTCCTTATCTATGTGTGGACACAAAATTAGAAGACAAGTATATGTGGGGACTTGAGGAAGGCCAGGTGATCCTGTGGGGTGGAAGGGTGCCATCTTTGAGCATTTTCTTTCTTTTTTCTTTTTTTTGTCGGTCGTGGGGCTTGAACTCTGGGCTTGGGCGCTGTCCCTCAGCTCTTCAGCTCAAGGCGAGCGCTCTACCACTTGAGCTACAGCGCCACTTCCGGTTTTCTGGTGGTTTATTGGAGATAGGAGTCTCACGGTCTCTCCTGCCCGGGCTGGCTTTGAACTGCGATCCTCAGATCTCAGCCTCCTGAGTAGCTAGGATTACAGGCGTGAGCCACCAGTGCCCGGCTATCTTTGAGCATTTTCAAGTCTGCTCAAAGGTTGCCCACTGTAACCTCCTACCTTGGTAGTTTCTCTTCTTCTTTCCAAGTGGGTTTTTTTTCCCCATAGATATATCATTGACTTGTTTATAATGCCTTCCTTGTTAACATAGAACTATTTTCATTTAGTGGAAGTCCTCGCACAGATACTCAATGGCACAACTTTATTCTTACTAAAAAGATACCTATATTTCTTGATTCCCCCTGCCCTGCCATCTACCTCACCCCTAGGCCCTGAAGCTGTTACAGACTCTATGTGGAGATGAACTCCACAGTTCTAGTAGAAAGCTTTCCTATCTACAACTTCAGCCCCACCTGGGAGTTCCTTAGCAATGCAGATTCTCAGGCCCTGCTGCACTGAATTTTAACAAGGACCCATACCTTTGCACACTCAATTCCAAAGAACCTTTGTCCAGTCTACTTAACACCAGTTTCCAAAAGGAGAAATACAGGGCTTCCAGGAACCCAAGGCCAGAACACAAAAGAGGCAATATCAGGGACAAAGACAGTTGTCTGCCCAGGTGTCTGTCTCCACATGGCTCACATCTGTGCTAGTCAGACTTTTGTTGCTGTGACAAAATGCCTGGCGTAAACAACTTATAAGGAGGAAAGGTTGGTTTGGCTGACAGTTTCAGAGGTCTTAGTCCATGCTCATTAGGCTCTGGGTTTCTGGGTAGAACATCATGGATGGAGGGGTATGGTGGAGGAAAACTGCTCACTTCATTAAAGCTAAGAGGCGGGAGGGTGGAGGGGGAGAGAAGGACTGGAGACCCCAAATAACCTTCAATGGTAGGCCACCTAAGATCTACTTCCTCCACCTAGGCCCCGCCTCCTATCAGCCCATTCAGCTGTGATGGTCTACATGCTTATGATCCAATCATCTCTCAATAACACCACCAGCTGGGGACCAAGACTTTAATACTTGAGTCTTTTGCGGGGCACCCTTCATATCCAAACCATACCTCCATCTCTGTTCTTGTCTCTTTCGGTTTCTGTATTAACTCAGATTACAAGCAGCTACTCCATCCCCCTAAACTACCCAAAGCACTATTTACCACCACCACCCACCATTCAAATTTTACGAAGAGATTTTTATTGGCTAAGCTGGTGGATGAGACATCCAATCAGCAGTGGCCAAGTTGTGAAGCAGCTAAAGGGTACCAATACGGTAGCTATATATTATGGGGTGGAAGCAGGGAGGGGTGAAGGAGCTGAGCTGGGAGGAAAGGCTGGCAATCTGGGCAAATCATCCGTGAGCTTTGCTGTGGTGATGGCTTTTCTTTCATTCTTCTACGTGTGACCTAGAGATGCCTCACGTATCATCACAGAGGCTGAGGCACCAGAAGTGTAAGGTTTCTTAGCACCAGCAAGCTGTCCTAAAGCACCGTAACTGCAGACTGGAGATGCTCTCCTACAAGGAACCTTTCCACCTCAGCTGTCTCCCCTGACCTGTCCTTCCTGCCAGGCCTAGCATAGTTCCTAGACTTGGTACTTGGAAGGATGACTTCGAAGAAAGTTATCAGACATAGCATGTTCCATGAACACTTGGCCTGGCAGGTATAAGAACCCTTGCTTCTGATGCTTTCTTCTTAGAAAATTGAAACACTTGACTGATCATTGAAGGCTCTGACAAGTCCTGCAGAAAAAGAACTTGTCTCCCTGCAGCTAAGCCAGGGTGGCCCAAACTTTCTCATGGAGATCTTTCTTTCACAAAATAGCATCTTTCCAAACCAGTGTCCAGTGGAACACATTTTGAGAAATAGGATCCTTCCTTTGACATTATAGATGGTGACACTAGCTGTGGTAGGCAGGCCGAGGTTGGTTGCATTTAATTGGCAAATACAGGCTTAAACAGATAGCCTCTCCTTGTCTTTTGTAACAGCAGTGTGGAAATAGAGAGGGTGCCTTCACTAGGTGAGCTTCTCAGCTGGGCAGGAGAACCTGTGTGCGAATGCACTGAGAACCTTCCCTACAAGTGGGAGCTGGTGCTACGAAAATCCAATGCAATTCAACCAAGGTTCCGACAATGCTTAGTAGCTATCTTCTGGGTTTTCTGTCTCTCTGTCTGTCTGTGTCTCTGTCTGTCTTTCTCTGTGTATACTGGTGCTGGGACTTGCACTCAGGGCTTTGCCTTCTTCCTTGTTTTCTTTCCCTTGCTCAAGGCTAGCCCACTACTGCTCAAGCCACACCTCCACTTCCAGCATTTTGTTGGTTAATTGGAGATAAGACTCTCATAGACTGATGGATGCCTCTTGTTCCTGTCCTTTCTCCACTGACCAACTGTACTTTGCCTGTAGCTCTGTGGATGATCAGTGCTAAGCCATCTTTATAAGTCCTTTGTATTGTCCTGTGCCTCTAACTGGGGAATGTGGTTAGGATTTTTGTGTAGGGTTTGGAGCAGTGGATGGAGTTGATGACAGCTGCCAATTGCACAGCTTCTCCACCTCACTGGATACGCTCCTTCCCCAGCTCCTATTTGTCTCTATCTCTCCTCATACTCTGGTCTCCTGGAGACCCTTCTCTTACCTTCCCTAGATACTACCTCCATCATCCCCTTCTCCTCATCCAAACCACATCTCCAGGCCACCTAGCAATGCCAAAGCTAGTATCTCCAGACCCACTAGGAACCAGTGGGGACTTGGGAATGAATCTGTTCCTTTGTGTATTCCAGCTCACATTCCTGGCAGGCCTCTCATTGTCTTAGGGATCTCTTCATCCCCAGGCTAAGTGAAAGATTATGGTTCTCTCCTTCAATACAAAGTTCCACTATGGGTGAGGCTGTGTTGGGCACTACATCCAGACGTCCAAGGGGGTCTCTGGATGGGAGCAGCTTCTTCATGAAAAGTAAGGCGTGCATGCCTGTGGCTGACTCCCTGTAATCTTGGCTATTCAAGAGGCTGAGGCTTGAGGATTGAGGTTCAAAGGCAGTGTTAGAGTGTCAGTCTTGAGTGAAAAAAGCTAAGGGACATAGCCTAGGCCCCAGATTCAAGCTTTCATGTACACATACACACACACACACACACACACACACACACACACACAGAGGAAATGCCAAATGTGGGCAGGGAGGGGAGGGCAGGTAGGGGTGGGAGAAAAGAGGGGAGGTAGGGGTGGGAGGAAGGAGGGGAGGGACTCCCCTGGCTGTTCTGATCAGAGTTGAGCTTTTCAGGCTGGAAGGCCAAGGAGGGCTTCCTCTAGGAAGTGACATTTGAAAGGGGCCACATCAGATGGCTTAAGTCAGGGTATGTGGGGAGCCAACCAGGGCCATGCAGATTAAAAAAAAAAAAACCATCTCCCAGCTCTTGTCTGACAGATTTCACCAAAACTAGGCTGGCTAAACCTCCAGCTCTGTGCAGCCGCCTGTTCTAATCTTTCCTTCTTATCTCTTTCTGGCCTTCCTCTCCCATCTTTTCCCCCAAAGGATGGTAAATCTTCAAAGAAAAAGACATGTCACTGTAAGTATACAGACCAAGAAATGGGCCAGATAAATTATTAAAACACATAAAAGACACTGAGTTGTGGGGAGGGAAGTCCTTGAAGGCCACAGGGCCACCCCAGTTGGATGGCACGTTGATGGCATGGGGGCAGCCCCTCTTGAGAGTCCTGAAAACACTGCCCTGGTCCCTCCCAGGCTCATCTTTCTGATTGCAGCCCCAGGGCCAGGTGTGTATGGTGGTCACAATGACAGTGGATTGAAGTCCAGGTCCCTGCTGGTCTGGGATGTCCAGAGTCAAGGTAGAGAGGTAGAGTATGTGTGTGTGGAGGAGGGGAGGGGAGGAGGAGGTGGGCTTTGTGTCTGGCTGGACCTATGGGATTTACTTCCCCCAAGACTCAAGCTGGTAACTGCAGTTTTAGTTCTTGCTTTTATCTCTTTTTGAACTGTAAAAAAGAAATTCCCAAGGGGAAGAAGGGATACTGTTTTCTCATGAAAGAAGAAAGCCATGGCTGGTTTAAGGAAGCCACCAACTTTCTAAGCATGGTGAGAAAGAGTTTGGCTTTGATTTCCATGCACCCTGGCTCCAGTGGGATTGTGAAGGACAAGGAACAAGCGCTGGTCTATCCTTGCAGGGGGCCTGTAGGCCCCTCCCACCGAGTCAGAAAAGCAGCCCCTAACCACAGCTAGGCTCTGCTCCATTCTACTCCATCTCCACAGGGCTCAAGGGCTCAGATTCCCACTGCTGGCATTGGCCTCAGATCATTTCTTACTGGGGAGCTATCCTAGCTTCTACCTGCCGGATGTGTCCAGAAACTTCCAAAGATCTCTGGGGGTTAACTTGCTTTGTAATTTCCCACACTATTTAACTATTCATTATGCTGGTTGTTTCTTGCCTGTCTTATACCAAGTACCCAGTCTGGCCCCATAAGAGTGGTCTATGTCCATTTTGTTCTCTGATAGATCCTTTAAGAGCTTGACACGGCTTGCCAGGTAGCTGCCACTCGTTTTTCTTTCCAGGTGTGGGGACTCACTCTTATGGTGGGATATTATTAGATTTGGAATGTGTTGAGGAAACCTGATCTAGCAAATAAGAGCATGAGTAATGTAATTAACAGATGGGTTTGGTTTGACCAGCTGTGTGTCCTTAGGCAAATAACTCTGCCTCTCTGAGCCTAATAGGGCCCTTCCTTTTTGCAGTTACAACTCTGCAGCAGAAAGTGGTTGTGATACAGGACAATGTCTAGCAATAGAAGTTACTGGATAAAGAATGATAATAGTACCACTATCGTGTGGGATATCCCTCAGCAATGGAGTACCTATTAATAAGATTGGTTTTTACAAGGTGTGTAACAGAGCTTAGAGAATGGAAGGAAAGGATTTTTAAAATTGTTTTTTATTGTGAAAATACTGTACAGAGGGGTTACAGTTACATGAGCAAGGTAATGAGTACCTTTCTTATCCAGCATTGTTGCCTCCTCCTTTGTTTTTCCCCTACCATCCCTTCCCTCCCACCCCCTCCCAAGGAAAGGATTTTGTGACTTTGGAGGACATCACAGATCCCTTTGAGACATACAGTGCTCAGATAGATTGTTCAATATAGTAGTCAGTCCCTACCTGCTGACGATCATTTGCAGTGTGCCTACTCTGGGTTTAGATGTGTGGTTTTTGTTATTGTTTTGTTTTGTTTATTTAGCTAGGGTCTTACTATGTAGTCCTATTTGGCCTCCAACTTCCAAGCCTCCTGTCTCAGCCTCCCTAGTGCTGGATTAGACAGGTATGTACCACCAAAACACAGCTTGAGAAGTATTTTGAATATAAAATATACATGACACTTTAAAGGCAGTGAAAAACAAAGAATGTAGAACGTAGTGCCTTATTATACATTGAAAGCATAGTTTGGGTATATTGGTTCAAATGAAATGTATTAATTTTACCTGCTTTTAAAAAAAAAACTTTTTTTAAAGGTGGCCACTAGGAGGTTTAAAACCAGAAATGTGGCTCACATTACATTTCTATTGGTGCTCTAGAGTGTAGGGAAAAGGAGCGGAGTCGCATCTCCATTTTACAGATCATAAAACTGAGGCTCACACGAAGACTTCATTCCAGACGGTAGAGCCGAATTGGGGGTTTTCTTTCCCACACCCAGGCTGCCTGATACCAGGAGTTGCTCAGTACAGGCCTGCTGTGTCCTCAGCGGGGCAGGCATTCTCTCTGAGAACCACAAAGGTGGGGTGGAACCCCTTGATGTCGCCCTCCCCTTCGCAGAGACCTCCCCAGACAAAACAAACAAGCCCTTGGGTCTGGCGAACTTCAGCAGGGAGCGGAAACCAAGAAAGATCAAAGACCCAGCGGTTACCCTCTTCCCGGCCATGTAGCTTGGCAGCGCGCCCCCACCCCGGCCGGGCACCCACGGGTCCCTAGACGAGGAGGTCCGTCTCTGAATACTTGTCGTGGTCAAGAGCAGGCTGGACTCGCATGGACCTGAGGAGCAGCTGGGGGGGGGGGTCCTGGGCTCCCAAATTAAAAATTAAAGAGATTGGAGGAGGAGTATGGTGAGGAAAACACACCAACATTTCTGCAGAAGTGGAAGACTAGGAAGGAGGCACGCAGCAGCTGAGATCGGTTCTCCCTACCTCAGTTTCCCCACTTGTAAACTGGAATCCTGCCCTGCCACTCCGCGAAAAATGCAGAGAGTAGAGAAGGCGCTGTGCAGCGAATGAGGAAGTGGTGACTCGGTGGAGCTCTGCACCCCAGAGAGTATCGGTCCCAGGACGCCTCCGGGCTCGAGCATCCGCACCCGGTCCCCACCC